GGGGGGCACATGGGAACAAGCCGCCAGCGGGGGGGGTCACGGGGAGAAGGTGGGGTCGGGGAGGGCTAATGGCTGCCTTGGGCTGGCCTCGCCTGGCCGTAGGCGGGGACATTGATCATGCTGGTCTTCGCCGCCGTCCTCCAGACGGAGAGGATGTTCTTGACGGGAATTTCCGGGTCCAGGACATCGGTGAGGGTGGCCACAGAGGTGGCAGGGACTTGGTTGTCCTCCAGGAAGCACTTAAAGGCGTATTGCAGACTGTAGGTGAGGTAGAGCAGAGGGATGAGAGGGCGGAGGTGGGATGGATGACCCACCACCCCCCAAGCCACCAGCCGTGGCTAGCGTTGGCCGTCAACAATAAGCATTGTCTTAATCAAAGTGGCTCTCAGTGGTGGCCAAGGTCGCTGGTCAATGGTGGCCAAGATTGCCGGTCAACATTGGCCAACGCTTCCTCCTAGAGGCCGCACTGGGGTATCTCCAGTGGCATCAGGAGTCAATGGGGTGGCTGATGGCTGGGCATCGGCGCTCTTCCCACCAGGGCTGATGCCACCTCGGGATGAGCGTCTCCAAAGACAGAGATCCACCAACACGCAACCAGACGAGGCCTCGAGCAACCCGCGTCGGGCAGGACTTGGAGCAGAGACCTTCCGAGGTCCCTCCCCGCAACCAAACCCTCCCAGGTGACTTCTGGCCACCGCTCCGGCTGTCCCAGCGGGGATACGACCTGGACTTACTCGTATTGGGGTTCAAATCTGGACAGTGCCACCGTGATCATCTCGTGAAGCTCGATGAGGAAGAGGTCGAGGTTGATGTTGGCCAACGCAGAGGCCAGGGCTTTTGCTTTCCTCGGCTCCAGTTGTCCTTGGAACTGCTTGGGAACCAGGCAGAAGGGATCCTGCAAAGACCACCACAATCCTCTCGAGTCCTTGAACCTCCTACGGGGCCCACCAGAGAGCTTCCAAGACATGAGCCAGTCTTGAAATTCCCCAGGGAAGGGTTGAATTATCTTCAGGATGGCCCAGAGACCTTGACTTTGCCCGGGGATGACACAGGGACGTCAGAAGTGGTGCCCTGTCGCACCACCGTAGGTCTCCCTTCTCCTCCCAGGGAAGCAAAGCCCACGTCCTCCTCCCCGGCCCCGACCTCATGTCCCTCACCTGGTTCATCTGCACCAAGAGCATGGACCTGCGAGCTGCCAGGACCTGCCACAGCGACAGGATGTGCTTCAGCTGAGTGTTGGGCACCACCTGAAGGAGGACAGAGGCGAAGAAGGCATTCAGCTCCACGGAAAGGTCACCTCCATACTCAACTCCAGCACCTCCTGGAGGTCACGGTGGGCCACCGACGTCCCCCCATAGCTGCACCTCAACTGCCCGGGTGGGCCCATCTACAAACCCTCAGGTCTCGCATCATCGGTGTCCCCCCACGGAGGTGACCCAGGATGTCCTCAGCACCTGAGGTGTCCCCACGGTGTCGGTGGACACAGCGTGAAGACCTGGCACCACTCAGCCAAGCTTTTAAACCCACCCCGGTGCCCAGGACCAATTTGCTCTGAGCAGAAGACCCTCAAACCTTCACGGACACTACATCTGGGGACCCCGGTGCACGGGAAGGTGGTGGGAGCCACAGGGACCTTGACGGTGGTCATCAAGGGGAGGACACCAGGGTGCCGTTTCCCACTCGCCCATCACCCACCGGCACGTCCTGGAACTGCTTCGCGTCGGCGTCCATCCGCAGGTCCTTCCGGACGTACTCGGGCAACGAGCGCTCCTTGTCACCACCCGTCACGGCCAGGAACTCAGCGGCCACCTTCAAGGTGGCCAAAGCCTTGGAGAGGGCGTTGACCGAACGGGCCTCTTCCATGATGCGCTTCTGCTGGTTGACGCTGAGAGGCTCCTGGAAGCAAGAAGGTTACGGACGTGACCCACAGAGGGCTGGGACCACCACAACGGGATGCCCACCCAACCTGCTGGTGACCCCCAACGCAGGTTCTACCAGGTCTCCACCCTCCTGCTTGAGTTGACCTTGGGTCTTCCCACATGTCCGCCCGGTCTCCGTGCCCCTGTCATGTCACGGGACTCGAGGGGGAGACCTCAGGGTCGGATGGAGGAGAAGACCATCACCCCGTTTCCTACCTGGGGCAGTTGGTCCCTGACTTTGGTCTTGGTGGCCTGGAGGGTCCTCACGTTGTTGAGGGCGATGGATGGAGCCGTCTGAAAAGGGTTTGGGACAGATGGTTAGGAACGTGTTTGGTGACACCGGGGACCAGCAGAGAAGCTCAGCTGGGCAGATGCGAGTCCATGGCATGTCCCCGAGGGGTTCCGCAGGAGGCGGTCGGTGGCCTCCTGAGGGCACTGTGGGGTTGTGGAGATGGGAGGAGGGCCCTGACGGCTGGAGGAAGGCACGGCCATGAAGGAGGACCTGGAGAGCTCGCAGCTTCACCGCTGGCCCCAGCAAGGTGATGGAGAAAGTCCTCTCGGGAGCTATTTCCGAGGACCAAAAGAGTGCTGGGGACAGCCAGAAGGGGCTGATGTCCACCTTTAGGAGAGCAGGAACACCCCAGCTGCTGCAGGACGGCCCCGTTTTGGTGTCCCCAAGTCCCCTTTTTCCACCAGCTCCAGCCTTTCTTCTCACGGAACGGAGACCACCAGCCCCAGCCAGAG